GCATTTTTTTCCTATAAATTAATCTACATTCTTTACCGTTACTAAAGAAAAAAAAAAATCTTTTACAGATTTTGTATGGCAACAGGAATTGAATATATATGGTTAATGAGCATGTTTGTTTTATAGAGATCTAAGTTTTTTCACATTCCATCAAACTAGGATTTTATTTAAAATTTAAAAGGTGTTGATCTTTTGTACTCAATCACAGGATACACTTATATTTATAAATAGTCTTAACCTGGTGTTGTTCAATCTGGATTTTATATCCACCCCTTCTTTGAAGGTTGTTTTTGTAGAGACAGTCGGTGAACAGGATCATGTAGGGCAGTAGTCTGAAGCTGCAAGCCTCAAGGGTCAGTGTCCTGCAGCTTTTAGGCTACATATCACTCAAATCCAATAGTTTTGTCCATGTTCGACTCCCCTTCCCATGAAGGCCAGGTCACACCACTTGTCTCTGGCTTATAAAGGCTCACACTACACGTCGGGGTTACCTGATGTCCCGATGGTTGCAGCCAACGCGCTGATGAGGAACACATTTAAACTATTTCTCCCATTCAACTGGGTCAAATCATGACATTTTCAAATTTTTCTTCAATGTAAAGAAAACAGAGCTGCAGTCTTTGTCACAGCTAATCATAAAAAAAAATTAAACATAAATATATGGAAACTACTAATTGCAGCTCATGGATTTTCCTCTGTCATTACAACCACCATTTAGTATCACTTGCTTTATTCATTTCCAGTAAAATAATATTATCAACTACAAATGTCAACTAAAATCTACGGAAGAGGATTAGGGCCACTGAAAAAAAAAAAGTTAACTGATTTTTAAATTTTATTTCAGTTTAACATGGGGGGAAAAAAACAGAATTCTGACTTTTTTCTCAAAATTCTGAGATTAAAGTCAGAATTCTGACTTTAATCTCAGAATTCTGAGTTTTTTCTCTGAATTCTGACTTTAATCTCAGAATTCTGACAATAAAAAAGTCAGAATTCTGAGAAAGAAGTCAGAATTCTGACTTTTTTCCAATACTATACTGAAATAAAATAAAATAAATCTGTTAACTTTTTTTTTTTTTCCAGTGGCCCTAATTCTCTTCCGTAAAAATCCCTTCAACTACATAGCAAATTAATTCACATAACTGCTAAAACATTGTAACATTGTTTCTAAAACCACCAATCTAATTTGAAATCAGACCGGACCACATTGGACTAGAAAGAATTGATTCTAAATCTTCAGAATGGGATTGATACTGAAAGTTGAATTGATACCCAGCCTCACTTCTAGGAACCGTCACGTGTGTTAATAACTGAGCCATTTAGACAGAAGTCTGATGGAGGTTACATTTAATTCTATTCATTAGCAGCCACAGGAAAAAACACTTTTGACAATAAAATTTGGAAATGAGCATAAAGACCTGTGTCAACGCAGCAGAACAATCAACAAAGCACATGTAAAGCTGTAGACTTTCCTGATTTTCGTTTATACTTCACTTATTATTAATCCTAATAAAACACCTTTGTTGTTTTAAACTTTAAAAAACCCAAAGAATTTAGAGCGTTTGAATAATTTTGGATGTTGTCATAAAGCAACTTTTTTGCTCATTTGGTGTGGAGGAGATGCTGATTGCTACAATTTAATCCCGTTCCACAAAGTTTCAGGTTCTGATAGATTTGCCAGAGCAATTGCTTTAATATGTTTTTTTGCTGCCCCTCCCCCCTGCAGAAAAGAGCAGCACAGTGCGGTCTACCAACCTCAATCGACGTACGCTGATGGTTTGGAAGATGACGTAAGAATTATGCAGCTTTTCTTTGCTCATTAAATATTTTCTTTAAGATCAAAGTGATTATTCTGAGTGAGTTTTGCTTTGTCTTTCAGGGGGATTTCAAACAGAAGTCGTCATTTGTGGTGTAGTGGGCAAACTTAAATTCACTTAAATTTTCTTCCTGAAGAACTTTTTTTTTTTTTCCTGAAGATTTTCTATGCAGGTTTTATGACCCAGTGTGATGCACCTCATTTATTGATTTCACTATCGCATATCTGCGATGTAAGGAGATATTTTGTATATTGATAGTCTAAGTTAAATGTGGCCTTTAGCTTTTTTTTTATTTGCCAACTTGTTTCTGCTCATGATTAAAACAAATGTGTGTTTTTTATTTTCTCTTGCCTTAATAACATCTTCCCTCCATTCATTGATATTTGTATGTAAGAACATTGCTAGTCCTCAGTAAAGAACTAAACCCTTTGGTCTACATGAACTCACAAAGCTAAACCAACACATGATCTATGCTTTTTATGTTATATTTACTGAGAATTGCCTTATTGGTGACTAGTGCAGCTCTCTTAGCTTAATGGCTTTACTAAGCCACTGTTTAAGCAGAACATAGTAGTGATGCTTTTAAGGTTTCTTCATGCTTGTAGACTTTTCTGGCACAGTATGTTGTGTTTAGGTTAGTTGGTGCTGTGTTGAAGGTCTGATTTTTAACAACTGTTTATGCATTTTATTTGAAAAGGGTCAGATTTTAAGTTAAGCTAAGTCAGCCGTACAGGTTTCACCTAATTCCGCACTCAGTTTTTGGCTCTGGAAACCTAAAACTTTGTGAATTTTTAATGCTCTGTTTTCAGCGCACATCATGGCCCAGAGTAAACAGTCAACCTGTACTGTATTTTTTTGTGATGTCACAGCTGTTGATTAGGTCTGTATTAAATAAAAAGTTGTTAAACTGTTTTCTTTAATTGGTGTAAATTGTTTATTTTAAAATAAGATGAAATTCTTCCTTTAATAAGGTAATGTGTTTTTCAGTGATCATTGTTGAAACCCATTGCGAAAATTCAAAATGTGAATTATAGATTGACCAATGCAAGCTTTTTTTAAGGCCGAATGCCAATTATTTTGACATCAGCCTAATGCTATGTTCATACCGAACGTGAGTTGAGCAACAGAAGCAGCCGGTTTAAATGGAACATCTATGGTTTCGGTGCATCAAAAGGTCCTGCAGCATGTCTCGTGCAGCACATCTTGACACAGCTGAATCAGCTCTTCAGGAGCTTCTGACCATCTGGGGAGAGTGATGTGCTTCATAAGCAGCAGATGCTGGAGTTGGAAAAATTTAACTTTTACTGCTCGACGTGCCACATCAACCAATTAGAGAAGCTGATCTGGGAGCTGAGAGATTTTCTAATTTTATTTTTCAAATTTCTCTTTTTAACATAGAGTTTTGTTCATCGCATCCTCTTCAAATGATATTTTACATATCAAATTGTCAATTTCAGCCGGCTCTTCATGTGATATTGGCCAATAGTGAGATATGGAGACCATTACATATCTGACTCAATAACCATCTTAATTAACTACATTAATTAATTTCAGACAAATTCTCACATGCTTGTATTATATTCCACTTTTTTTCTTTCAAATTTCAATTTACAAAATGTTTTTTTCTCTTTACAAAACATGTTCTTCCAACAATAATGGAACAAAATTCACTCCATAAATGGTCCCTAATAGTTCATTAAGCGGTAGCATGCCCATTGGCAGCAGGTTAGAAATAAAGATTGAAGTCTTTAATGCTTGAACTGGTTCTTTCATCCTTCAGTGGGAATGTTCTGTTGTTTAAGCAGCCAAGTTCTAAATGCAAAAAAATGAATATGATATTTTGAATGTTTGTCAAATGGGTATTAAAACTTTACATATTACTGGATTTTCCCTTATATTGATGTAATTTAAGAAACTGACTCGGGACTGTTATCATAATGCTCCTGATTTTAACAGCTGCTTTTATACAGTTGATCAGGAATTTTAATCTCTCATTTGGAGCAGTGTGCGGAGTCAGGTATTTCAGGTCCTATTTGTTAGTCAAGCTTTTTAGTTTTGTGCCCTCTGCTGCTACTCTTGAGTGTGGGGTCCCACATGGGTCAGTTTTAGGCCCCTTGCTCTTCTCATTCATTGTATTTTTTTTTTAAACATGGGGAGTTTCCACTGGTTTGCTGAGGACTCCCAGGTTTACAGAAAACAAAAACAGAAAAGTTGTCTAAACCTGAAAACACAGAAACTCTGACTTTTCTGGTATACAAAAAGAGTTTATTCAACCTCTGTTTCAGTGACCATGGTAACATTCTCCCCTGAGCTAAACTGGTCATTAGCAGGTCTTCTTCAGGAAGAACCGAGTATCCTCTGTCTCCGCTCTCCCTACAGCCAATCACGTTGTGTTATTTCCTGATTTAGTCAGATTTTTGTCACATTAGGTTTTAAAAACAAACATTTCATGTCCATTTGCTGAGGATCTTATTAAATAATGATCTGCTGTTGTTCACATACAATAAAATTTATAGGGAGAGGATTCTGTAACTCAGTTGACAGGGCATTAGATTACTTGTTTTGGGTTTGTTTAATATGAGAAAGATGCATATCATTTTATTTTTAGTTAGGTATATTAACAGTACATGAAGAACAGCTGCAATTATTTTCAGATTACACATAAATAGATTCATTGATTCTGCAGGGGATAAGGAATAACTTTAGGGTTAGGATAACCAATTACTTACTACACTAAACAATTCAGAATTAGGGTGAAAATATGCACATTTTGCAAAGCTGACATTGAGTTAATTAGGCATCTTTTTTTAAATTCATTTGAGAAATCAGTTAACTTTTCAACAGTGTTCCAGCACTGAATAAATTGTAAAGAAATATTTACTGCCGTTATTTAGATTGGACATAAAAAAAATGTAAATAGCTACATTATTAGATTTAGGAAATAATTAGCCTATATTGTCAATATGATAATTTTTTCTTTCTTGAAAAATTCTCATGTTATTTAAGATTTTTACAAGCAATTTCTCTTGCTGTACCGTTAAATAAAAAAAACAACCCAAAATCTTTGTTGCTATGACAACTGATAATGGCGGACTATTCTCATACACCGCACTGCGCATGCGGGAAGTAACGACAACCCCTTTGCATGTCGTAGACAGGAAGTGTGAGCAGCTTTTTCCACCATTCAGATAATCATCCCAGCGCTAAATAGATACGTGATAAAAACAACGCCAACTGGTTCATCCCTTTTGATTTAAAGGCTTTTAAGCGCCTGCCCTGCTGTGCTGCCTCCTTAACGGAAGGGGTCGCTGCTGCCCCTCCGCTCCCTCACCAGGCACCATTCATGAATTAAACAACATTATTATAGGGAGGGAGGGCATAACTGGTTCAAGTCTGTCGCATCTGATTTTTCGCTCAGCGGACCGGATGCGAGGGGCGAGGCAGCAGCCAGATGTGTTCACCGCTGCAGGAGTGACTTCTCATGGCTGAGCCCCCTGCTGATAGTTTTGGTTTCATGTCGAGCAGCAGGAGGAGGAGGAGGCAGCAACTCGCTCCAGCTCACAACTCAAACATGCTCCTCGCACTTTCTCGATATTTACGCGCTTCCGTCCAGATCGAGTCACTCTGGTTTAAATAGCTCGTAGCTTCCGTCTCTATTTTTTTTTTCTTTCTGACTGCTGATAAATGAAAAGGCATCAGCGGAGCTGAGGCGCCGATGGGGCAGTGAGTTATGGCAGCAAAGGAGGAACTGTACGCAAAAGTGACACCGCGGAGGCAGCGCCAGAACCGACCCAACACCATCAAAAATGGCTCCACTCTGGACGTGCTGCTGTCCATGGGCTTCCCCAGAACCAGGGCGTGAGTGAACAGCTGCTCTGTAACAACAAACACGAACAGACACACCGGTTGCGTTTCCGTCCCGTCCATCTCTACATGTTGACATACTGTATCTCAGCATCTCTGCTGCTGCTGCTGCTGCTGCTGCTGCTGCTGCTGGTCCTCTTTGCTTCTGGTGGCTCCATATTAGGGCCCTCCATCATAACGGCTTTAATGTGACAGCAAAAAAATACAATACATCTTCAAATTTAGAAAACTGAAAGCTGAAATATTTGGTTTATAATTTGGATGTCGACACATATTTATCTTGTTTATTACACTGGTATATATATATATATATATATATATATATATATATATATATATATATATATATATATATATATATATATATATATATATATATATATATATATATATATATATATATATACATATATATATATTTGTGTGAATAGAAAAATTATCAAATAAAATAAAGTATTTTAACAGTATAAAACTGTACACCTGGAGAATAAATAACCAATATACAGCTATGGATGTGCAAAATGACAGCAGCATGTTATTTAACTGAGTAAGATAGAAACTGCAAAATCAGCATGAATGCAACAACTTATTGAGGTTGTTGGGAAAATGTTTTTTAATTAATTTATTTTTTTCTATCTCTGATATTTTAAATAATGACACAGAAGTGTGGGACGTTACATCTAAAATTAATCATGATCCAATTTCTGATGATCAAAACAGAGCTAAATCCTGTAAAAAACATGAAAGCTTTCAAATGTAGGGACTTGGTTAAATCTAACACTTCTTAATTTATGTATAATTTAAAGAATCTTCCTATTCACATCCAGGGATTATTTCAAAGTAAAGATATAACATCTAAGGCAGTGACATGTTTAAAACATGGTTAAAACAAATATGAAGCAGCATTGTGTTTCTGTTGGGCTGAACACATGGAGTAAACTGAATTCAGAGGTAAAATACTGTTCAAAATGTATCCAGTTTAAAAACATATTAAAATAAAGAATTATAAATGAAGCTGACTGTATTTTGGGGGTAAAATCAGCTTTTTCTATCCATTGCCTTCCACTCATTGTGTAAAAATCTTTATTTATTGAATTACTTTGTTCAAAATGTCTGAAGAAAACATAAATAGCTTTAAGATTAACTGAGGACGTTAGCAGAATCTAGTTTTCACATAACCTGATTGTCAGCTTTAACACCAACAGCTGCCCTTTTAAATTCATTGATTTAGAAATTTGAGTAAAATACCACAGTACTACTCATAAATGTAGAATAAAACACTATAACATGAAGTAATTGCTTTAATTTCTGATTTGTTCATGAATTTACTACATCATGCACATTTAAAGTGCTAAAAGTTCCTGCACTGTAAAGTAATATTTTCTCCACTTTTTTACCAGAGCCAGACATCGACTGCATTATTCTGATCAGAATTTAATTCAGGGGCTCGCTTCATCACCTTCCAGGCACCTTTATCACTTCTCTTTTAAACTACCCACGCCTGATCAGCTGTGCGTTGCTTTCATAGCTACCGCTGCGGATATGTTAAGCTGTTAGGGGATATCTGACTAACTGTGTTCATATCTGACCTCATATAAAACTGTGCATGAGGCAAAAGGAGATCTCTACTGGATGTGAAACAAAAATGTAAATCATAACCCCTTGGCTTTAAAAAGCAAAAGAAGGAAACAAAATTGCAATTAAATCAGACCCTCGTTCTTTAGCAGCAGCCTCGTATTAAAGGGACACGAAGAAGTATTTTAGAACAATAATATTTGACATCTTAAACTTTGATTGAACACTTCCTATCTCTCTTCAAATAAAACTTGCGTCGGATTAACTGTTAGGTGTTTGAGAAGAAAATAGTGTTCTTGAAATGTGAATACTTTGGAAACAAGGAGGAAAAGTGATGAAAGTAGTGTTATGAAACCATGACATTTAGCATCATCTTTGGACTTTAATCTCAAATCTGTTAATCCATTAAACATGTTTAATTTGTGAAATGTTCTAATTTACAGTTCTTAGTTATTATTCAGTTCTTTGGGATCTACTTTCTTTTTCAGAATGGGGGTCCTCCTATGGGAGCCCCAGGGGCCCTAATTAGTGTCTTGGCTTGTTTATTCCTCAGGCTGGCTGTGGAATAAACCTGCATGGCTCGTTTTTAGTCGGACAGGCTCAGCACTCGTTGTCTCTTTTAGAGACGGTCTGTTCTCATGGTTATTTCCTGCTCCCCAATGCTTCTTTTCATTCATCCATCAAGCAGAGAAGTTGCCAGGAAACGAGAGTTATTGATTCCAGACAGTAGTCTGTAGCTCAGGTAATAATATTTAGACAACATAGTGATGTAAAGTAGGGCTGCAGTTAACGATTATTTTGCACATCCATTAATATTTTGATTATTTTTTTAAAAATACATTGATTAATAATTAGATAGCAACAAGTTCCTTAAAGAAGATTTTTACAGAATTTAAACCAAGTGAAACCAACATTTTTCTACTTGTGGATTACTGGATAGAGAATATTGACAGATGAAAAAGTTTTTTTTAATCTTAAATACAAAATATTGATTTTTTTTTCTTTTTTAATATTTTGGTATAGTTACTGCTTTAAGTGGGTCGCTCTGTCAGCTAAAGGGATATTTTTGAGTCTCTACACTCCAGTTAACAATTAATCTATTACTAAATTAGTTGACTATTATTTCAATAATCAATTAATCACGATTAATCTGATCAATTGTTTCATCCCAAATATAAAGAAAATATTATAGAAAATATACTAGTATAAAAAAGTAATGTAAATATTAATTAATGAATAGTGTTGCACTGATATCGATACCAATATTGAACAGAGCCCCGATCCAACACTAAAATGGTGGTATCGGTATCGGCGAGTACCAACAAATAGGGCACCGATACCATTTTGAGAGCCAAAGTTTATTAAACTATTGTCACCCATTCCAGGTAGACAATAAAAGGTTCTACTGGATTCAGCTTGACAAAGCCATGATGGCAATTATTTTACATCCAAATTTTATGCAGTTCTTCATATATAAACACACACATCAGTTTCAAACAGATGGTATCGGTATTGGCCGATACTGCACAGCCAGGTATCAGATATCAGTATCATTGCCAATGGCATCGGCACGACACTAGTAATGAACAATAATAATAATAAGTATTTTGAATCATTGTTTTGAACCAAATTATATATATATATATATATATATATATATATATATATATATATATATATATATATATATATATATATATATATATATATATGTATAAAAAACTTACAATAGAAAATTTTACACCAAAGCTACATTTAAGCTATTCTTACAGCCTGTCTTATAACCAAATAATAAGTAGTTATGGAAGCATCAAACGGTTTTCATTTCTCTGCTTCCTCTCACTGTCTGCATTGTCTTCCCTGTCACCAAAGCTCTTATTATTACATCCTTTTTACTGTAAGTACTGTCAGCGAGTCCCATATAAATTATTAACCTACCATGGTGAAACTGTCCCTTCCCACTCAAGGCCTTCTTTTTTTTACCAGTGCCCTAAAATGATCTCCCAAATTCTGCACAGAGCAATTACATTCTGATTAACTTTAAATAGAGGATACATTTTAGCTGTTTTTTTTTTTCTTGTCTATACAGCTTTATAACCTTAATAAATTGTAAAACATAAACAGGGAGCCATATTACAGCATGTTAGGACAAGATATCTGTGGTTTATTGCTCCTAAATCTGTTAAGCAGCAGACTCGTTATTGTAGTTTTGAAAAAAAAAAGAAAGAATTGGAGGTCCTTTTTCTGTTGCACACAGTAATACGTAGTAATACACTATGGGCCAGATTTATCAAGATCCAATTTTGCGTGCAGTAATTTGCGCTCGCAAACTGGAATTTTGCGCGAGGGGCTGAACCATGGTTTGCGGGTGATTTAACAAGAGTGATTGCGTAACTGGTGGCAGGTGCAAAACTGTTGGAGACGCCCTATTTAAATGATGGTTTTGCACGTTTTGTGGTTTGCGGCAAAGTAGTTTGTACAAACTAGTGCATTAAGAAATTTAAATCTTACAATGACCCCCAACAAAAAAAAAAAATATATATATATATAGATATCTCTATCTATCTATCTATCTATCTATCTATCTATCTATCTATCTATCTATCTATCTATCTATCTATCTATCTATCTATCTATCTATCTATCTATCTATCTATCTATCTATCTATCTATCTATCTATCTATCTATCTATCTATCTATCTATCTATCTATCTATCTATCTATCTATCTATCTATCTATCTATCTATCTATCTATCTATCTATCTATCTATCTATCTATCTATCTATCTATCTATCTATCTATCTATCTATCTATATATATATATATATATATATATATATATATATATATATATATATATATATATATATATATATAGGGAATAAAGGTTGCCAAAGTTTTTTCTCGTCCAGAGAAAAATGCACATACCAAATGGCTCACAAGAAGTGACTGTGGATGAGATTACTGCTCGTACGCATCCCCGCAGCATTGGCATGTTGCTCCACAGGCACAGGAGGGAAGTCTGGGTTCTCTGGTAGGGCGTCAGGGCGACATGGCATTTAGAACGTCAGACAGCACTTCTGAAAAACTAGATTGGGAGATCCAATGTTGCAAGGAGTTTAGTGATATCTGGTATTGCGTGGGTCCTCCTTGTGGCTGGCTCCAAATCCATTCGGAGTTCCCCCAACAGCTCCAAAATGGCAATGCTGGATAAACGATATGTTTTGATGATCGTTTCCTTGTTCATTCCAAAAATATTCACACGGAGTGAAAAAATGCGTTCTCTGCGTCTCCTTGCTTCATTTCGATGTCTTCTTCTTGCGTCAATAACCGCTGCCATGTGTGCGCAATTACGCATACAGACCATTTGCACCTTCTTTTGAAACATGTTAAATATAGAGTCAGATACCGTTAGC